ATAAAGGCTTATTTCACGGCTATCCTGCATATCTACAGGATTAACAAGCGTTTGGGCGGCTCGCTGTCCGCGACCGCTTATTCGTCAGTCCAAATGAATGGACTGCTTATTTCGCGGCTAACCTGCATATCTGCAGGCCGTTCCTCTATCCGCAACCTGAGGACGCGCCCGATTCCCCGAGCTAGGGACACTGCGCTCGTGCCGACATTTCGTAGCCCCGTAGAGCCCGATCACACCGACACTGTAGCGCAGCGCAACGGGCCTAATGGGCACCTCGCACCACACGAAGAGACCCTTGCCGCTCTCGTGCAGTCGGACTGACACCTAACCGGTGGGTGCCGTCACTCCCTCTTTCGAGAGGATAGTGGTCAACGCCCCTACGACGTCCTCTTCCACTATATATATAAAAGTATTAGAGTTTCCGGAACACTTTCAAAAGTTAATTTTTTGTGAAAAAGTTGTTATTTTAAATCCCGTCCTGTGGGCATGTGAAGAGTCAGATTTACAAAAAGAATTTACCAAATGAAAGGTACATTCGCCAAGTATATCTGTTAAAAATTCTAATTTTATTTTTCTTTCGACGCACTGAGGTCCATTTAGCAGTCGCTTATATGAATTTATAAACATATTGTTATTATTGACGGGTAATACTACTTAAATTTTAATTTTACTGTGTTCATTTTTACGATAGAGTTACTCTATGATATTTACACATAACTAATAATGCAAATCTATTCAATATCTATTGATCGGTAATCTATCAAATTTACATGGAGTTTTTTTTGTAATATTAGAAAACATACTTGTCACGAATATGAGTCCACAGCATACATTGTACTCGAGGGTGGCAGGACCGATCAACTGTCCTTTTAGTAGTCGACATAAATTAGACATTCTTTCTCTGAAAAATTAATTATTAGCTAAAAAAATAAAGGTCATCATGAAAAGTTTGAGTATGAATTTAATGTTTGTCGGTCTTGAGTTTATTCATACATTGTATAGGGCGTAACGTAATGAAATTACCATGAGTATCAGGTCACAGGTAACTGTATTCAAACAGTGCGCGTCGTACATCCGTAGGTTCAGTGTTGCACATACACACTTAATTATTTATTAAATTGATATATATTTCCTACCACCTGTGATTCTCATCCTAAAAACCATAATAGTGAACACACTGTCAAGTACCCTCTCCCATGTGTGATCAAGCCGGCGTAAGAAAAAATCACGGTTATGTTCAAAAAGAAGCTCTCAATCATCTTCATTCGTTTTCTTCTCTACTTCTTCGTTTTGGATCAATGGCATCGTCTCTTCAATATTTTGACGCGTGTTACGAATCCGTAATGGAGGAGTAAAGTTTTTCAATTTGGCTTGACCATCATAATGGCATCAACACCAATACATTTTCTTGGGCATTCAACCACGAATTATTATAACATGGTATATTTGTTCCTTTTCTGTTTGTTATATTTTGTCTTGCATATGTAAATTACTTCATTGTGTTATGGGCTATGATTATTTCGTCATCCTCTTATTTTCTAGTAACTAGAATCTAGTTAATGACTATATAGATTGTAACTATGATCTGAGATTATGTTATATGGTCAATTCTTTCTGTTTCTTTAGTTTTTCTTTCTTCACCTTACGTGAGTTGACAGGTTCTCGGGTGTGGTCAGAGTGGACATGGTGAACATCTCAATGGGTCCTCTACACTTATGTAGAGGATACCCATTGACGTTGGTGACATGTACATTTTACCCTGACCCATACGATGGATCTGTAATACCCACGTTACCCTCCTATTTTCTTTGTGTTTTCTCTTGTTGATACATTATTAAATTAATTATTTGATCCAGTTAATATTTGATATGTCGAGTCGTTCTGAAATGAACTCTAAAATACTGATTATGTATAATTATAAAACTTACAAAATACAAAGGCCGTTCTGAAGCCAGTCTGTCTGTAGACAGGTTAACTTTATATAATTGCAATCAATCATCATTCACTGTTTTACCTTTATGGGTGTAAAATGTTGCATGTACATAAAAGATCATTTATTGGGCCAAAATCATATTAACTGGGTTTATCTAAAGGTACCTGTTTTTCTTTCTGTTATTGCCTTACTTACCTTTTACTAATATACTTTTTTTCTGATCCTTGACCATTGTTTAATTTTCATAGTATTTTATTTAACATACTTCGGTTTATTCGGATATGCAGGATGGCCCACCACTCACTGACAACTTAAATAACTTTTGATCCAGTTAATATTTTTAGTTGATTTTTTTTTTAAATAATAGTTATACGTTAGGTCTATAGCTATATCTCAATAATTAATTTTTTTACATTTTATTAAAAATATTAATTATTTTTAAATTTTAAATAAAATGTAAAAAAAAAATCTAAGATAGCTATTTTGTAGAGTAGAATTTAAGAAAAATTTTAGTAAAAAAATATCTTATTAATATTCAGTAGTAAATATTCTGTAGCGTTTTGAAGTTTGTGAAAATTTGAATTTTCATGTACTATTTTACGGTATTAAACATTGAAATACGTATTGAGAAAAGGACAGAAGAAAACGCTATCTTTTCATGATTACTGTGTATACATATGATGATAGTGTGTATACATTACAAACTTGGCATTAATACCATGATAAGAAATCAGATAAGGCAATTATTACTTATCACTCTCATTCAAAAGTATATTGAAAAAATAGCGTTAAAAAACATATTTGTTCAGAAAACACAAAAAACAATGGTAACATTGGCATGTCTCACATATCGAACACCATCTATGAATGCAATTTTGTACAAGTAAAAAATTTAATTGACATTTGAAACACATACAAGATTGTGGTCTTTGGCACATAAAACATAAATCAGAAATAAAACAATTTTTCACTTTTTTGGCACATAAAACGTTTGACACATTCACTCTTCATTTGGTCAGTATTAAATTTGTGAAATTTATTACCAAGAAATATTACACATAAACTAATATATATATATATATTTGCTTATACTGATTATCAAACACAAACAGATATAGGAATCATAAAATAGACGCCATTTCACATTTATCAAAAAAACCAAAAATCGCTTAATCATTATTCTACCATTTCGTTAAAATTCAATTTCCAAAGAATCATATTTATGACAAACTTTTAATTAAATTATTGTGAATAATTTTACGTTTACATTTAAATTACTTACAAATATTTAATGTCATTTATAGACTAAATATTTATTTTATATTATTAATAGTCTTTTAACATATAAAACAGTTATATAACTGTTTTATACCAAGATAACATTTTTTTTTTTTTTTTTGAGAAAATAACAGTTGTCAAGATTAATAAATAGTTGCCATCGCTAATATTTATTAAAATTTATATTAGCGTAATTTGTTATTTAAATTTTATTTCAGTTTTTTTTTGCTCATCAGTTTTACGTTATTTTTCTAGAACCCCTCTCCCCTATAAACAAGAAAACCTAATTAAACGAGATTTTAATTGATTTATTGTAATAAAATAATATGATATTATGATATATTTTAATACCATTTTAAAAATACCAAGAATAATTTTCTTAGCATTATTATTTTAAGTGAAATGAGTAGCTAGCGTTAAAAGGATCACTCTGTTTACATGAAATATCGATTATAGTAACTCAAAAAATTAATGTAATATAAAATTAATTTTATTTTTATAATTGCTCTGATTAAAATGATATATAAAATTAGTTACTGGTTGGTCTTATTTAAGTATGAGTAGTGACGTAGATACAGGGGGGCTTAGGGGGTTTAAACCACCTCCAGAACCAAAAAAAAATATATATATTCATAAATAAAGTAGAGGTACGATATAAAATTATTTTTTATCGTTATTTTTTTACATTTTGTTAATAATATTATCAATTAATTTTAAATAAAAATACATCTTTAAATATTAATTAGTCAAAAATTTAAAATGAAATAAACCCCCCAAGAAATAATCGTATCTACGCCACTGATTATGAGAATCATTGAATTACTATGGTTAACTTCGTACAAACGTTATTGATTTTTTTTTATTTATTTAAACAATATTGAATCTAGAGATCACTTAATTTTTCTGGTTCCTTACTTAATTTATGTACTCACTATACTTAACTTAAAACCTTACAAATCTTCTGACAAATGTGAATTTACCTTAGTGATGTTAGAAGTAAGGTTGAAAACAAATATGCTTTGATTTTTTTGTGAAATTATAAAATTTGCCGAAGCACTTTTGACACTTGTTGAAAGTTCATAAAGTCAAGGAACAGTGAATCGAATTGACAGTTTTTGTGCCCTTTTATATTAAATTTAATTCATCTATATGTGCAAGAAGTGTAATGACCTTTTACTGTAATTTATTTATTACTCGATTGCGTTAGTTATTACACATTATTTAACTTAAAATAGATGATTTGTCACCAGGGCCGTCCTTAGGGGGGGGCAAGCAGGGCCCAGGCTCTGGGCCTCGCCCTTTTAGGGTCTCGCACAAAAATACCAGACCTGAAGAAATATCGATGAGCAAAAAAAAAAATAAGTAGAATATTACTTGGCAATTTCATTTAAAATTAATTAGTTCTTGTGATTATATTTTTTTAATTTGTATATTTAAAAAAACCTGCTATTTGAACAGAAGTAATAAATTTGAAATACAATTTCAAACATTATAAAGGTAAACGTCGAAATATTGTATTAAATTTATATAATTTATATGAATTATATAGATCAATTGGTTTACTAATTTCCCAATGTTCATTTTTCACTCAACAAGCATATGCACATACACTCGAGATATGCGATTAGGCAAAACAAATTATTTTAATCGACCAATTTCGTAGAAAAATAGTCATAATATTAAAACGATTTATTCACCGAAATAACAAACAGTTTGTACCTGTAATTTTTAGTATGTGTTCGTTTTTCGTCGTCGTTGGAGCTTAAATGTCGGGTACCAAAAAAAAAAAATGAGTGGCCGATTACGTGATAAATATCGAAAATTTAAAAGTGGTGCTGAAAAGCGAAAACTTAAAAATGTTCAAAAAGAGCAGGGTAAACTTTTAAAAAACTCTTTATGTAAATTTTTAAATAAAGATCAAATTGATTGTGTTACCGGAAGTAGTAGTCAAGTTAACATTGAAAATACGAACAAAAATTATTGTTAGACAATATTACTATTGATACAAAAGAATTACAATCTAGTAGCAAGACTGAACAGAATGAAGTAAATGAAAATCTTCAACAACTATCAAAAGATTTACTACTCTAAGAAGATACAGAGAACAAAAAGGTACAGGACGATGAAATTGATTATGACGATCCAGGTAAATGGCAAAATATTACAGATAAATTACGAGTTTATTTATTAGAGAACTCGTCTTCAAAAATTATAAATTATAATTTTCCATCAAACGACGAAGGTAGAAAATTCAGCATATCACATTATAATCGAATAATGGGAAACTGTGAAAAATTGGTAAGAAATTGGCTTTTATATTCTAAATCTTTAAATCGAGTTTTTTGTATCTATTGTCGTTTATTTTCTTCAAACTCAACTTCATCATTGGCGTCAGAAGGATTTTCTAATTGGAAACAGATAAGTGAACGTTTAAAAAAGCATGAATTATCTATTTCACATAATATAGCTCAAGAGAAAGGGCTACAACTACGTATGAGATTTAATCTCCATATAACTATAGATAATGCTATTCAAAGAAACGTAAATATTGAAAAAGAACGTTGGCGTAATATTCTTAAACGAATTATTGCATGTATAGAATTTTTAGCAGAGCATAATGACTCTTTTCGTGGTACAAGTTCTAAGTTATATACAGCTAATAATGGTAAATTTTTAGGCTTACTTCAAATGATTGCAAAATTTGATTTAATTGTGGCTGATCATTTAAAACGTGTATATAATAATGACATCCATGATCATTATTTAGGTCCTAGGATACAAAATGAACTTATTAATATTATTTCCACAAAAATACGTGATGATATAATAAATCGAGTAAGACAAAGTAAATATTTCACAATTTTATTGGACGGAACTCCTGATAAAGGTCACAAGGAACAGCTTACATTTTTATTGCGCGTTATAGAAATTTCGAAAATTTTCAAATATGAAATAATTGAATATTTTATATGTTTCATTCATACTTCAAGTAGTAAGACTGGCTTGAATTTAACAGAGGAAATAAAAGCACAATTGAAACTAATGAACATAGACTTAAATAATTGTCGTGGCCAAGCGTATGATAACGGGGCGAATATGATAGGTCATCTTCAAGGAGTGCAGTCAAGAATCCTTTCTGAAAACCCAAGAGCTTTTTTTATTCCATGCACTGCTCACAGCCTTAATTTACTTCTCGGAGATATGGCATCATCCGTACCAGCTGCTATGACATTTTTCGGGGTAATTCAAAAAATTTATTCTATTTTTTCTGACTCCACTGAAAGATAGACTATTCTTCTTAAATACGTTTCAGATTTTACACTAAAACCAATGTCAGATACTAGATGGGAATCTCGGGTAGAATGGGTTAAGCCTATCCGTTTTCAATTATGCCAAGTACATGACGCTTTAATAGAAATAAGTGAATCAATAAAGGATCCTAAAATAAAAAGTGAAAGCTCGTCATTAGCAAACTATGAATTTTGTTATAACTTTATTTCAAGTGTTGTTATTTGGTACGAACTGCTATAAATAAAGTTAGTAAGAGACTTCAGATCAAAAATATGGAATTGAGTAATGCTGTACAGTTGTTAAGTGATCTTTAAGATTTTTTTTATAATTTTAGAAATGAAGGGTATGAGTCGTCAAAAAAAATTGCGCAAAATTTATGTAAAGGCTTTGATATTCAAGCAGTTTTTAAACAATCTAGAATTAAAAAAAAAGTTAATCAGTTCAATTATGAAAGCAAAGATGCACGTCTAAATTCAGCTGAGCAAACATTTTACAATGATTATTTTCTAGCCGTAATAGATCAAGCAATCGTATCAATTAATGAACGTTTTGAACAACTATCTCATCATTCTGAATATTTTGGATTTTTATATAATATTGAAAATTTAAAAACATTTGACGATGAAACGTCAAGAAAACATTGTATGGATTTAGAAACTTTTTGACGAATTAAAAATTTTTTGTAGAATTTTGAACAAACAAATGACTTCTATAGGATGTCTTAATTTAATAGAAACAACATGTGGCTCATTTCCAAACATTTCTTTTGCATTAAGAATATTATTGACCCTTCCGATAACCACAGCAAGCGCAGAGAGAAGTTTCTCCAAGTTAAAAATCATAAAAAATTATTTAAGGACATCTATAACACAAAATCGTCCTTCTGATCTAGCAATTATTTCAATCGAACGTGATTTGTGTGAAAATTTAGATTATGACGATATTATTAAAAAGTTTGCCGAAATAAAAGCCAGAAAAATTGATTTAGTGTAATTTAAATTGTTTTAACGTTTTAATGTCAGTTTAAATAAGACGTTATTTTTTAGTCTTTTAATTTTATTAAATTAAAGCAAATTTTTGACTAATATTAAAAAGCCACTGTAGGTACTCATGAATTTTTTTACAAAGGAGTCATAAATAATTTTATTTTAAAATTAACAATTAATAGTTGTTTAATATTTTTCTTTATAAGTTTTTAAAATTTGTATAAAAAACATTTTTGTTGTATTTTTAGTTATAATAATGATAAAAATGAAGTGTTGTTATCTATGTTTTGTTGGTATAAAATTGTTTGCCTTAGGTACACCTAGGTACTAGCCTGGTACTCCGGCTATTGATGAACAAAAAAAAATGGTCATTTTTGCCCTGGGCCTCACAAATCGTAAGGACGGCCCTGTTTTTCACAACTAATGAATTCCTTATAGTTATTGCATTAGATTTGTATCGATGCATTTTTAAAAGATAGTTTAATAGATTGACAAGAATAATATAAATTTAATTTAATGACTAATAGACAATGATTTATAGACTACTGAATAATGAGTGATGTAAGTATTAATACACGATGTGTATTAATTTAAAATGTTTTGTTTAATAATACAATCAAGGTCATGTTAACTTAAGTGCAAATCACGAATAGTATCTACTATCCATGGTTATAAATGAAGCATTTACTCCAGGCGGTAAAATTGAAATTACCTATCTTGTATTATATTTTTAGTTTGTATACATTTATCCATTAGGAATGGATAAAAGGGTGAAGCAAAAATTATTTGCTGTGGTCATAGGCGCAACTTTAATAAAAATTTTGGAGGGGGTTATTATATAAAGTCTCCCTACCCTAAAATTTTTCTTTTATTTTATATGTAATTTTTTTTAATTTTAGAGTGGTAAAAGTCCACTTAATTTGCGCCTATAATAGTAGGATGGCATTGACTTATACGGCCTTATGTAATACGCCAAAAAAACTTTAAGAAAATACACACAATATGTAGAGCCTGCATTTTATTCAAAACATAATAAAACAAGTTTAATGGAAAATATGCATGTATAATAAAAAAACGGTAGCACAGTGGGGGCGAGGCATAGATGGGACAAGTATAGATGATATCTGACAGTGATTAAAATCACTATCATAAGAAACGCTTCGATGCAAATCTGTAGATAGTGTTTCATTTAGAGAAATTGGTGGATTATTCCAAAAGCAACATCAACTCTTATTTCTTTAATTATATCCTGATTATTAGTTCTTTGATTTTAAAATATAATATATGAATAAATACTAATTATAGTTTTTAAATTTAGTATGAAATTGTGAGGCCAGCTATGATGTATGGTTCATAGTGTTGGGCGGTTGATAAGAAAGTAGAGCAGAGAATAAGTGTAGCAGAGATGAGAATGCTTAGTTGGATGAGTGGAGTGAATAGAGAAGATAGGATAAGGAACGAGCATATAAGAGGAAGTATAGGTGTTGCGTCAATCGTGGATAAGATGACAGAAAATAGACTTAGATTGTTTAGTCATGTTATGAGGAGAGAAGAATCGGAAGCTATAAGAACAGTTATAAAAATGAATGTAGAAGGAAGAAGAGGTAGAGGAAGACCAAAAAAGAGATGGAGGGATGCTATTGAATGCGATTTGAGGACAGCTGATGTGAGCGTAGAAGATGT